AGATACGTGTTTAAAATTTTTAATTTTTTTTTAAATAAATAAAACGAACCAAAAAACAATAAATTTTAAGTGAAAGTCCAGAAAACCAGATTACTAACGCTTTTACAACCTAATCGATGTTTTTTAATTAAAAAAATTCGACATTTTTGAATTTTTTCTATTTTTACATTTTGCAAATTGTTGAAGTCTATAAAAGTTTAAAAAAATTTACATATTTTTTAACGCAGATTATAATGGTGTTTTGCGTTACCTTTTTTATTATTGTTATAATCGCTGTTTGAAACTGACGAAGTTGAAATTCAGATTTTAAAACTTTAAACGTTTTTTTTGAAAACTATAAGTCTTACTAAAAATGTAAAAATCCATTGAAATCTGTTTTTAATTATTTTTTATCCAATGGTTAAAACCTAGAGTTGATCGGAATTATAGTTTCGGCAAAAAACGTGTTTAAATTTTTTTTTTAAATCAAATATGCTCGATTTGAGTCTTTCCCGAGGATAAAAAAGTTTTAAAATGAGCTCCCGGAAACGTTCAATTTCTTGAAAACTACTTGTCGTAGAGCAATTTTGAGAAATTCCCACTTTAAAAAAATTGAAAAACAGATTGAGACAAATTTGTTATTTTTATTTTATTCTTCTTGCAATTATGAAATTGTGATTATAAACTCAAAATGAGATTAGCATCAACAATTTAGGTGATATATTAAGAGTTTCAGTTCACCAGATATTGCATTCTTGTCTATTGCAGCGATTCCGTTATGCTAATTGAAAATTGTTAAAATTAAATCAATGTTAAAAAAGTCTTAGTAAGATTAGATCATTATCAAAATTAGATGAGATGAGTTGCATTTGCGGACTATTAAGTTTAATAATTTTCCAGCAATTAATATAAATTCACACAAATTGCATCCAATAATAAAACCCTTACCTTAGTTAAGTTTCAGTTGGTTGATCTGATCTGTTATTCAGTGAAGACCAATTTTTGTAACTGTAAAACACAAAAACTATCCAAATCTAACTGTATGCTCACCTAATCCGTATATTTGTCCGGCAGAACAGACCGCAAACGACTTATTTACTCAGTTTGCGTTAAAACAAGACATTGTTTACAGAAAATAAAAAAATTATAATAACAAACAAACACCCAATTATTTTATTATTATTTGTTTTGTTTATTATTTATGAGGGTCATAAAGCTCTCTATTTTGTAAGACATAGTGGAAAAGCTACTCAGCAACATCCATTCACCAATAAATCATGGATGAATTCTTGACCATCTGATTAATTTGTTTATTGTCCCATTTTCACATTGATGCCGCGGAAAAGTGCAGGTCACGACACTGAGTTCAAATTCAAACACCATTTGCTATTTTTTTTATTTAATCACAACATGTAATGAAACGGTAAATTTCATTTTAAGATGCGCTCAATTTCTGTGAGAAAAATCGTTCCTCGCACGTTAGAAAGCAAATCTTCTCAGTTTTGACTTATTTATTTCTACAGTTACAAATGTCGCTGGCCATTAACCGTCTTTTTAAATAATAATGGCGGCAATTAAAATTTCTAAAGGGTCAGCTTTAATTGCGTTGAACACTTTGACCCCAGTCTCTGTGTGCATTTCTCCCAGAAGTTGACGAAATTATAAAAAATTTCAATTTTTATAATTAACGCTGAGCACACTTGTCTTCATAAATCACGAGAGATTTACGCGGAATAGTTTTCATACTTGGGTTACCAGCTAATTTGTTTAATAAGAGTGAAATTTCTTAATTTAATGGAAAAAATGTAAGGATAACAATTTTTGAGGAATGTTGTTGGTATTTATGTTTCATGATCTACAACACAGTTTATGTATTCCAAGCTGGTTCGATTTTTTAACCCAACAAGCCCAAAGGTGCTAAAAAAGACCATCAATCAACGATACTTGTTCTCGATTATGACAGAAATCACACCAGGTATCAACAATTTTTTTATTAACTTAAACTTAAAGTTACTAAAGTCGCGGTCAATTCATAGTGGCCACTTCCCTTTGTAAATTTATAAAAATTAAGTTGTGTAAATCCGACTTTAAACATCCAATTGTTTTTTTAGGGACAGATCTATCTAAAATGACAATTTTGAAAAAGTGGGGTTAGAATACTTCACATATAAAACATCTTGACACAATTTAGTTACTTCAGCTACCAACATAGACACAACTCAGACACTAGAGGTGGCGGGCTAGGGGCTGCCAACTTTGCAATAAATTAAATGGCCGCGACTTTAATTGCCTTAAAAAATCAATAGTTGCACCATTTAAAAATAAAATTCAGCATTACCAACTCAAACAACCATTTTTGGTTCACTCAGTACCTACTATAAAAATTATTAAATAATTTTCGAGTTTAGAATTGGTAAAAAACTGGTTTCTGTTTAAAATTTTGTAAATGTAATAAGGTAACCGCAAACAAAAACAAACATTTAAAAAAAAAAGTTGCATTAGTTTACAATACCGAAATTTGAAGCTTTTAGTGTAAGAGTGAGCAAAACAATGAAAAAGCTTTATAACACGAGTAAACAGCATGGGCGTTGTCATATTTTTTTTTTAGACAGAGACAACCTCATCGCAGTTTAAAAAATACATATTTTATTATTATTACAAACACAAAAACGTTATACAAAATAGGAATACAAAACTATATTTTTTCTAACGGAAATTATAAATAAAACCATAAGACAGGGATCTCTAAAACCATAAATTGGAGTATAAAAGTGTAAAAGTTAAAAAAAATAAAAAAATATAAAAATGATAAAAGTTAGCATAAAATAACACAAATCAGTAAATAACATGAAATAATAAATACTAAAAAAAATGTAATACTTGGAAATCAAAACATAAAAACTCTTTCAAATTACATTCAAAAAAACAATAATCAATAGAAATAAAAAAATTAAATAAATAAATAAAATTTCGTTTTTCTCAACCAAAATCGTCTATGATAAAAAAGTTAAAAATGTTACTAAAAAAAATATTAATAAAAACAAGTTGCAAAATGAGCGTGTTTTCCACTAGACGTGTGCAAAAAAGAGCCGTTTTGAATCGTGTTTTATACAAGATTTTTTCCAATTTGGTTGTGAAAAGCATAAGCATCAAATTCGAATTTAAAATTTGTGATTTCAATAATTTTCCAAAATCATACTAGGTCGTGGCGTTGCTATGAAAATAGTGTTATTTGTTTTCTTTATGTCACACTTTTTAACACTAGTGATAAAATAATGTCATATTTCATAAACACATTTGACAACTAAAATGACATATCACAATGGTTGCATTTCACAACAAAAAAAATAGTTTACCGCTAACGGAATAAAACTTATCCGAAAAAATGTCTTAGATTAACTTCCAGGAGGGGAGCACATGCACCACCTTGCCCCCTCAAACGACGCCCATGGTAAGCAGTAATTATTTTGTGTCGGCTAGGCAACCTCTTATACGCTGTGGCAAGCGAGATTGTCTATAACTTGCAATTTTGTAAATTTTTAGACTACACAATTAAAATGTATTTTTTAAATACAAATAAACAAAACGCAATACTAAAACCATCAGTGTAACAATCTGTAAATTACTATTTGGTTAAAACAGAAATAAAGTTTTATAACACGTCGACAATGTAGGAAACTATAAGTCACTTTTTTAGTTAAATATAATTAAATGTCAGCTAGACAATTCTTTATGCAGTGGACCAAGTGGGGTTGCCTATAATACACAATTTTTGTTTGTTTACAAAATCAGAAATATTTAATTATTAAGTGAGAAATGTTGATATAAGATTTTTTATTACGTCCATTAAATGGCAGTGAGATAAAAATGTCTATTTATGTTTCACAATTTGTACATCAGACAGACAACAATAATATTGCACATAAACTAATTCTTGTTTTTAGTAACGCATTTTGTTATTTATTTGCATAAATCTAAAACAATAAACAATCAAGTGAATTTGGTGTGTCCGCAGACTTGTTTATTGTTGGACGCGATTTCGACAGTTTTTGAACACTTTACTCCTGTTTGAATCCATTGACTGTCGCTTCAGGCCTTTCAGCTTCTCGCCTTGTAAGCTGGTAATAAACAACAAGTCGGCCACTTAACATGAATAAAAATACAAGGGCTGGTGCTGTCCGTTCCAATTTATCGGCCACCATGTAGTGGGAATAGACAGCCATGAGGGTGAGCACCAGCAGGCACAAATTCGCCCCATTTTTCACTTTATCTAAAAAGAGAGACAACATTTGCGTTATTTTTGGCTTAACATTGACAAATTATATAGGTTGCGGTCGAAAATTTGGTAATATCGGACTAAAATAAACACATTGCTCACAATCCGCAAATAAATTTATTTTATAAATAAATATTACAGCGAAAATTCACTTACGATTGGGCACGAAAGCCATCGCGACCCCGCAGACTATTTCCAAGGTGCCCACGGTTCTGCGGTACCATTTCGAGGGGATCTTGAAGTCCAGGGCTTCCGACAACGGGAAGACTTTCGCATATTTGACGTATTCCTTTCGCTGAAACATAATTTCATGAGTGTTTCAGTGGGCGTGAAAATTTACTTTCTGTCCGCAAACAGGATAATAAAAATGCGCTTTAACGATTTTTGTCGCGAAAATATTTGCCAGGCGTCGGGCCAAAAATTTAAAATATCGGATTGTGTAACAAGTCGCGACTTACCAAGTCTTTATGCAGGTCCTTGGAGATGTAACTGGACAGTTTGATAAATCCCACGAAAATGAAAAACAGTCCTAATAGTATTGAGAGGGATTTTAAAACGATTGATCCCATTGTTTGTGTCAACTATCACTTATTTTCGCTTCAAAGTCTCACTAGTCTATGTACATTGTGGTTTATTTATTGTTAGTAGGCTTGGTGTTGGGTCGGGGGGCACGACTTTCCATCTTAAACGACGGCGACGCTCTAAACAAAATCGATATTGAGCGCCGTGTTGTACTAACCGTTCTTAAAATATCGCCATTTGCGTATTAGCCGTCGCAAAAATTTTATTTGCGCAAAACGTAAACAAGTTTTAGGAAAATTTAAGAATGAAAAGGTTTCAAAGCGTTTTTTGAGTTTTCCTTAATAATCACATCGAGAGGGAGTCACAAAACACAGTTTGGTTATTTCTATTTTTTTAAACAAAAAAAATATAATTTGATAAGTGACGGACAAGCTTCTCATGTTTGGTTTATTGGAAAAGATTTTTACTTTCCTATCTTATGAAACAAAAATCGTGTCGAAAAAATCGTTGACATAAACAAAACCTGTATTCACCAATAACATTTAAACTTCTTATGTGGAATTTTGCGGTTTTTTAATAGCCAAGCGATTTTACGGAACGTTTTAAAATATGGCTAGTTTAAACCTTCTTATTTTGGTTTAAAAAGTGACTACTCGTCGTAGAGCATTTTAATTAACTTTGTTTATTGTGACTTAAAATTATTTAGTTTTGTTGTGTATAACTGGTGGCTTACCATAACATTTTGATTATTGCATTTATTCAAATATTTGATTTTAAAACAAAAATTCTAGGTTTTAAGAAACAAAAACGTATAAGATAGCTTAAGATTTTAGAAACCAATTGCTGTAGAGCATTGTATTATTGTTTTATAATTTAATTTTGAAGTATACTTGGTTGCCTACCATAAAAGTGTGAATACTGCATTGATTCAAAGTTTTATTAAGAAAAATTTTAGGTTTTAAAAAAGCAAAAACCTAAAATAGCTAAATATTAAAAAAAAAAAACATTATTGTAAAACGTTTTAACTCTGTATTGTAATATTTTTAAAGTATAATTGGTTGCCTACCATAACACTTTGGCACTGCATTGATTCAAATAGTTTAATCTTCTTAAAATAAAAATGCTTGGGATTTAAAAAACGAAAACTTTAAAAATAACTTAATATTTTAAAAATTAATTGTCGTAGCACATTACAGTTCAATTTTTGGTGTATATACTCGTTTTCATATAAATGTGCTTTCAAGTAGTCGTTAAAAGGGATCATTTTAAGGTGGCAACCATGTGAAAATTCTAATTATCCTAACTTCAATCTTCCCCATTTCTCAAATAAATGTGTACCCCAGGTAGCAAAAAATAATTAACAACGTAAATATAACGATTTTTGTCGTTATTGATGTGATTAAATTTGTTCTGAATAACATTAATGACAATTTTTATGTGAATCAGCCTTTAAATTAAAGATGCATTTAGACTTCTACAACGTACTTAAAGCACATTAATAAGAAAAAGAGTATAATTGGTTGCCGGCCCTAACGCTCTGATTAGTGCATTAAATCGCATCATTGTTTTTTTTTTATATCTAATTTGATTAAAAAAAGAAAACTGTATGACAAATGAGACAGACATTTTCAAAAATTAGTTTTTTAGATAGATAAAAATTTAGTAGTAGTTTTTATTTATTTTTTTAAGTATTATTAACTGAATATACTTATCACTATTTCTTTTTTGCTCAAATTGAAGTTTTATGCTAAAGANAGTTTTATGCTAAAGAAAAGAATATAATAAGATACAAAAAACATCTTTTTAGTTGAATAAATCAATGCTTTATTTGAATCTCTCTAATAACAAACACAATCATAACAAAATAACAAATAAAAAATGTATAAAAAAAGTTTTACACATAGTAGTCAAATATATTTGATTTTTGCCGTTCTATAGCGTGTTGTGGTACTACTGAGAACAAGTTACTACATGTGAAATGGCCTTTAGATAGGAGCCTCACCTTGAACTTGGCACTAATGTAGAATTTTAACGTTTTGAGGATTTTGAAAAGTCAAATTTGACGTTAAAGCCTGCTTTACAGTGAATTTTCATTAAGTGTCAAAAATTGTATGTCCCATTTTTGTTCTTCCAAATAGCACAAGTTTTGAGGTGTTTTCTAAAAAAAGTTTAGTCTACATAAAGATGAAAAAGAATTAAAAAATCAGAAGGAAAAAAAATTATTTGACATTCGATTTGACATCATTATTTCCGCGGAAGATTTAACGGGGTTACTCTGTATAGTGCTTCTTATTTATATTTTAAATTATTTATTAACTGAAGTATACAAGGTGATTCACTAGGAATAATGAGCCTGACCAAATTCTCGATGCAACCACCATTACTCTTCGCAAGTTAGTTTGCGACAACTGTAATGTTGGTTGCATCGAAAATTTGGTCAGGCTCATTATTCCTCGTGAATCACCCTGTATTTATCCTTATTTCCTTTCCGCTCAAATTATTGAAATTTTATGCTAAATATAAGAATATAAGATGCAAAAAACATCTGCTTACTTGAATAAATCAAAGTTTTATTTCAAAATCTCTCTTTTAACAAACACAATCATGTCAAAGTAATAAATAAAAATGTATAAAAAGAGTTTTATACATAGTACAGTGGGGGACAAGGAAAACTGAGCAGATGTGTCATTTAGTTGTCAAAATTTCTAAACTATACCTTAGGTCCTTAGGTACCCATAACCAAGTTTTTAATGTTTGGCATATTTGTCTTTTTGACACTGACAAAGTCGAAGTTTTTGTAATAATGACAATAAAAGTGCATTTATATTGACATATTTTGAAATGACAAGAAAAGACTGCCTAGGATTCCGTGTCGTCCGGCAACTGTACTCGAATATATTTGATTTTTTCCGCTCTATAGCATGTTGTGGTACCCCTGAGAACAGGTCATTAAATGTGAAATGGCCCTTAGATAAGAACCTCACCTTGAACTTGTCAGTAATGTGGAATTTTGACGTTTTTGAAAAGTCAAATTTGACGTTAAAGCCTGCTTTACAGTGATTTTTCATAAAGTGAAGTCCCATTTTTGTTCTTCCAAATAACACAAGTTTTAAGGTTTTTTCTAAAAAAAATTAGTCTACATTAAGATGAAAAGGAATTAAAAAATCAGAAGCAGTGAAAGATTTAATAATTTGACATTTGATTTGACAGCCCCACATCACTATTTCCACGAAAGTTTTAACGAGGTTACTCTGTATATAAGGGGGCCGAATCTGCTGAAAATGCATGAATGAGACAAGTTTGAAGCGTAGAAAGTTTGAATGTGTTTCCTGCGCAAACCGGATGCGCAGTCGTAAAGTTCACAGCCTACCTTGTGAAGTGTGTGTTGCGAGTTGCGAGGACGCGGTTGAGGTGTGTGGGTACCGTTTCGAGGAATTTTCAAATCATCTCCAGAAAAACCATCACCCAACTACCGAACCAAGTGTGCGAACACCATGTAAGAGTCCACAGTGCGTAAAAGTGATCAGTGTGTGCCTTAAAAGTGGCTTTAAAGTGATTAAATAAATGTTTGCGTTTGTGCGTGTTGTTTTGGCCAAGTCTGTCGGATAACCTACGACAACAGGTAATAATCGGCGTTTGTTTGCACTCTTGACCTCAAATTTGCGACGAAAATGCGTTTCGCGGAAGTTTGAAGTTGTTGAAAAGTTTGCGAAGAACAGGTAAAAGCCAGGTTCACACCACACCGGACACGCGGTGCTTTAAATCGACTGTTTAGGTCAAGAGCGCGGCTGTCATGTTGGCCGAATTGCTTGGCCGGTGTGATTCAAGTGTCATACGGGGATTTTTTCTTTAAAACGACACACTTGTTAACTATTTATTACAATGGTGTTTGTTCAAGAATGTGACCCATGGAGAATACTAATTTGACTTTCTTGTCCGGTTTAATACCAATACTGAATGTAAATTACGCAGCAATAACGTATTTTCTATCAAAGTGACCCATGATTTTGAAATTGAGTTGGTAAAATGTGACATTTGGATGTTACCAACTTAATTTCAAAGCCGCCACTATTTTTGGAACATAATCATAAATAGCTATGGAGTTTGATAAGTATGTTAACTCGAAGAATGCTCGTTTAAATGCGGATATAAAATTTAACTTTTTAGCATGGTAATAAACCAGAACACGCAACCTGAACTAAAGCACTATCGGGTATAAATTTCACAATGTTTCACAGTTTCCACTCTGTATATTGTGCATTTTTTCAATTTTTACCAAACTGTGGTTTGTTGTTGGCTCACAGAATCTGTTATAAACATTCACAACTAATTAACACGTTTTTCTAAGAAGGAGTTTGCCAATCTTACTTGACTTTTAGTATAATTAATGATTATTATTGTTTCTCTGAATTTTGATGATTCGAACACTTTTTAGATTTTTTTTAGAACTAATTCAGGATTTTTATAGCTGAGCTAGCGGAAATTGCAAGTTACAATATTTGCTAAAATATTCAATGGTAATTTTGCAACTTTAGTAGCAGTTGGCTTTGTTATTTGTTGACAATATTTGGCTTTGTTGTTGTAAATTGTTTCCTACTTAACAAAATTAGTTTTGTTTAGAAGAATTTTTTGGCAAAGTGTGAGGTCAATAAATCACCTAATGAAAATGAGAGATTTAGAGTTTTTTTTAATTATTCAAAATAAAATACAGGGTGTTTCAGAATTCGCGCCTCAGAAAAAATGCCAAGTAAGATGAGACACCAGGAACATGGAAAAAAAGGTTAAAAATTCTATCTTTAAAAAGTTTTATGTTAGAGGGTTTAAATTTTGCACTTGTTTTTTTGCTTCAGGCTATATCCTGAATTAACTATTTAACGTTATTTGTAGCTTTTATTGCAAAGTTTTTGTACTTTTACTGAATAATGATGAAAAAGCATAAACATATTTACAAGATCATCGGTAAAAATAAAGGGCATAAAAATATCGTATGTAAAAAAATAAATGTCAGAATTTAAACATTTTTTCCGTGTTCCTGGTATCTTATCTTACTTGGCATTTTTCTCTGGGATGCTAGTTCTCTAGCACCCTGTATGTAGTAATTTTACAAGCTTAAA